TTATATTTGCCTCTTTTAATTCTTCAATTATACTAACAATTTCGTTGTTATGATTGTTATTTCCTGCAAATCGTGATGCCATTAAAATTTTTAATCGATTAACCAACTCATTGGGATCATCCCAATGTACGTATTCAAAGGGTTTATTATTATATTTCATTAATAAACCACGACCTCGACGTGTTGTAGAGGTTGTGGCAGAAGTTGCTCCACCATTATTGTCATCATCATCATCATTATCATCATAGTATTCTGCAAGACGTCTGGGTTGAGGTAATCTTAACTTTAATATTTGTTTTTGTTGTTTTTCTTTCGATTCTTTAACAATTTCATCAAGTAAAGGTTTAATTACATACTTATACTTTTCACCTCTATTACCAGCTGTTTGTTCATTCGCATCAAAATTTCTTTTATGTGCATTCGTGCTTTGCATAATATTTTTAAAATTTTCTCTATCTTCTGGAGTTATTAAACTTTCGTTTGGTCTATTTTTAAACAATAACTCATATAAACCATAAGTACCTTTATATATTTTATCTTTAACAAGCTTTGTTTTCCCTTTTATAACAACATCATTTCCTTTAAAATCCATTTCTGAATCCCCAAAACGAAATTTTGCTGTAATTACATCATAATTTAGATAATGAGTATCAAATATAGATTCAGTGTCTCGTATATATTTTTTAACGTATTCACGAGGTATTTCATCAAAATCTTCTAAATACAAATTAAAAGACTCATCTCGATTTATATAATCCCCAATATCTTGATAATTCTGTTGGCTAATACTGTCATCATAAATATAACTGCCTTGTAATGCATCTTGTAACGTATGATCTGCTATATTTGAATATTCAAATGTTTCATCATGTTTTACAGGGCTGGTTCCAAAGTCCCTTTTATTTGTTTTTATAGGGCTTGTTGCAAAGTCCTTTTTTTTTGATTTTATTGTTTTAGTTCCAATATCCCTTTTATTTGTTTTTATAGGACTGGTTCCAACATTTTTTTTATTTGTATAGAATTTTTTCTCTTTTTCGTCTTCTTCTTCTGCATCTTTTTTCTCCTCTTTTTTAATACTTTCTAATTTTACTTTTGGTTCATTTTGTTGAACGGAATAGGAAATTAATTGTTTAAAGGGTTGTAAAACATGTTCCGTTTGAAATCTATTTAGTTTTAATGCTTTTAATTTATTTTTAATATCTTTTCTTTTTTTAATTAATTTTTTTGTTATTGTTTTTTGATCCATGTTAACTACTATTAACAACAATTTTATTATAACTGATGAATAAATTATTATTTTTTATATTTATAGTAATACAAAACTTCATCTGTTAAAAAAAAAACCGACTGCTGTTTTTACAGTAAAACAGGTATTTAAACAGCCAGTTTTATTAAAACAGCATGCTGTTTAAATAGTTAACCAGCTGTTTAAATATGCAGTTGTAGAAGAAAAAACAGTCATGAAAATATAAAAGAATCAAATCCCTTTCTATAACGACCATAATTAATATCACAATCTTTGCATATAACTAAAAACCCATATTTGTCTTGCCAACACTTTGAACACATTTTTAAAAAATTATTTAATGAAATATCTGTATTAACATGATCTTTGTAAATATGTTTTAAATTCATTTCATCTTGTTTAAAAATAATTAACATATTTGCATTGTCTCTAATCAAATGTTTTGGTATATGAGCATAAGTTTGAGTTAAATAAAAAGAGTCAATAAGGTTATGCCTACCCATTGCAAAAAAATCTCTAATAACACTTTGTTTTTCACATGCAACATCATCAAATATAAAAATTGAATTGGGTTTAGCATCAGAAGGGTTTACTATATTTTCATTATCACTATATTCAAAATATTTAATTTCTCTGATAGGTTTTAATAATTCCTTTAAGTAAACATAAATTGGTTGATATAATGATTTAGAATAAACATACACATTTTCAAAACGTAAACCATTAACATCTTCAAGCAAATTTAGCATAACATTTGTTTTTCCACAGTTAGAGGGGCCTGCTATTATACATCTAATTGTACTAGGTAGCAAAGTTCCATGCCTGAGCAGTTTATTATTATTCGCAAAATCAAATTTTTTAACCGGTAATTGACACTTTTGTTTAACTATTCGCATGTTTAACAACTAAATATATTTTTGATTTGCATCTTCTTATATAAATAAAACCACTATTTATAAATTAATTAGTTTAATAAACGCATTAGATTAGGAAAGATCAAATTTGATAAATAAGTATACATAAAAGTATGCAACTCATTTGTAAAAAAACAATCAAACGAAAAGGTAGCGGTCTCTTAAATAAATTAATAAATAAATTACCCTTTGAGGCACATATTCCCGGCGGGTATAGATTTTGCGGACCCGGAACTAAGCTTAATAAACGATTAGCACGAAACGATCAAGGTATTAATCAGTTAGACGAGGCGTGTAAAGTTCATGACATTGCCTACTCAAAATTTGATAATTTAGAACAAAGACACGAAGCAGATAAAGTTTTATCGGATAAGGCATGGGAAAGGGTAAAATCCAAGGATTCTAGTATTGGTGAAAAACTTGCTGCACTAGGTGTTACAGCAGCTATGAAAACAAAAGTTAAACTTGGAATGGGTGTTAAACTTAAAAGTAGTGGTAAAAAAAGACATAAAAAAATTAAAAATAAACGTACAGTAGGTAAAGGTATTACTTTTAATAAGGCTCTTAGAAACGCTAATAAAACCCTTAAAAAAAATGGTAAAGGTAAAGATGTAAATTCTGCTATTAAAATGGCATTGAAAGAATTTCGAAAAGTTAAAAAAAATAAAAAATATCCAAGAGTTATTTCGTTTCCAAAAACAGGCGGTTTTCTACCACTAATTCCAATATTTGCAGGTTTATCCGCGTTAGGAGCTCTCGCAGGTGGTGCTAGCTCAATTGCAAGCGCTGTTAATAAAGCAAAAAGCGCGCAACAAGAACTTAAAGAAAAACAACGGCATAATGAAAAAATGGAATCTATAGCTATGGGTAAAGGATTATTTGTAAGACCTTATAAAAAAGGTTACGGACTATTTGTAAACCCTTATTCATATTATGAAGGAAAAAAAAATTTTTTATGAATACACTACCAAAACGACCATTAACTAATGTTGATTTGTTAAAATACACTAAAAACTTAAAAAACTTTCGTGGAATATTTATGCGAGATAATTTACCTGGTAAAATTAATAATATTGAAAATGGTATAATAAATTTAGATAGTCAAGACAACTTTGGTAGTCATTGGACTAGTTACGTTAAAAAAGGTAAAAATGTATTATACTTTGATAGCTATGGCAATCTTAAACCTCCTAAAGAAGTTATAAAGTACTTTAATAGTTTAGGCTCTGTTAAAATATTCTATAATTATTCTCGTTATCAAAATTTAAATTATAATTGTGGTCACTTATGTCTTCAATTCTTGTATAATAATGTTTAATAATCTAATATACATTTAGTTAAATATTAAAATTTCACCGATGAAGACGTTTAGTTTTTCATCAACTCAATCAATTATTAGTGCGGATTTTAATCCACCTATTGATTTAAGAGAATATAAAAACGATTTTGTTATAGGTTTGCTAAGCTTAGAAGTTTATAACGCGATACCAAACATTTCTAAAGGAAATAATAAATTTTATATTGGTAGTGAAGTAATAGAAATCCCAACAGGAACTTATGACGTAGATAATATTAATGATTATTTAAATTTAAAATTGGATGAATTAAGAAAAACCAAAGGTTTTGCTTCTAGCCTTCATATTAAAGCTAATTTAAATACTTTAAAATGTATTATTAAATCGGATCAAAATATTAATTTTAAAAAGGATGATTCAATAAGAGATTTATTAGGTTTTGATAAAGAGCTTTTAACTAAAGATAAACAGCATGAATCTAAAAAACCTGTTAATATTATGAAGGTAAATTCAATTAAAATATTATGCAATATAGTTAGTGGATCCTATGAAAATGGAAAAACAGCGCATACTTTGCATGAGTTTTTTCCAACAGTACCTGCTGGATTTAAAATTGTAGAGTCTCCCCAAAATGTTATTTATTTACCAATTAACACAAATTTTATAACAAATATAACCTTTAATATAGTTGATCAAGATGGTGATTTACTTAATTTTAGAGAAGAGACCATAACGTTAAGAGCTCATTTAAAACCTCTCCCCAACAACAACAACAACAACAATTATGGGTTTTAAATATAATAAATCTGCACTAGACACTAATTTTAGTGTTAAACCAATAGCTAAACAGTTAACATCCACCAAAAAATTAACGCCAGCAAATTTTAAATACCTTAAGTCTTTGGGGTTTAAAATAAAAAAAATATAACATCAGCTATGAGCATATTAAACGTAACTGATAGGGCTTTTTTTGATTATTCACTAGCTAACGTAGAAAAACATTCATATTTACCATATGTTTCCAACTCGTTTAATAACAATGATGAAATTAGAATTCCAATTAATCAATCAGATTTGTTTACCCTCCCAAGTGAAAGTTTTATATACATTGAGGGTAAGTTATTAAAATCGGATGGATCAATATCTACAACAGCAAAATTAATTAATAACTTTTTTGCACATTTATTTGAAGAAATACGTTTAGAAATTGGAGGTAAAGTAGTGGACCGAGTAAAAAATCCTGGGACAACCACCACTCTTAAAGGTTTGGTTTCTTTTAATAAAAACGAATTAGAACGTTTAAAAAATGCTGGGTGGAATATTGACAGCGGAGAATCTTTATATGAAGTTCATAAGACTACAGGATGCTTTAATGTATGCGTACCATTAAAAACTTTATTTGGTTTTGCTGAAGATTTTAAAAAAATTATTATAAACTTGAGACAAGAACTAACATTAATTCGAAGTAATTCTGATAAAAATGCAATTTATAACACATTAAAAACTGAAACAAACAAAATTGAAATAGACAAAATTGTATGGAAGATGCCTCATATTACGGTCGCTGATGAGGAAAAATTAAAGTTATTTAATTTGTATGAAAGTGGTAGAGAGTTAGAGATTGGGTTTAGAAGTTGGGAAATGTTTGAATATCCTCTTTTACAAAAAACTCAACAGCATACTTGGAGTGTTAAATCAGCAACACAGCTCGAAAAACCTCGCTACATTATTGTTGCTTTTCAGACTGATCGTAAAAATGATTTTAATAAAAATAATGGATATTTTGATAACATATCCTTGCACAATTTTCGATTATTCTTGAACAGCAACATGTGGCCATATGACCAATTATTATTGAATTTTGATAAAAACCAATATTCTTTATTGTATGAAATGTATTCAAACTTTCAACAATCATATTTTGAAAAAGAAAACGAACCTCTTTTATCACCTCAGGAATTTTTAAAAATGGCTCCAATTGTTGTAATTGATTGCTCGAGACAAAATGATATTCTAAACTCTGGCACTGTTGATATTAGGTTAGAATGGGAAACAAGTAAAGATGTTCCAGATAAAACATCTGCCTATTGCATTATTTTACATGATCGTATTATTCGCTATGTTCCTTTAACCGGTATAATAAATACAATGTAACCAAACGAATTAATATAATATAAGCATAATATAAGTATATTATGTTTAAATTAAAAAATATTTTATTTTAATATATAATATAATTACCCCCTCCACTTTTTTAGGTTTAAATACTAATATTTTTTTACAAGTTTGTTTATTGTTTGTTTAGTTTTATTAAAGAAAACATGTCTTTATTTTATATAGCTTACGACATTGCTAAACCTTTAACAATTCGAGATATTAATAGATTAGTACAATGTTTTCAATCCACTACTCCATTTCAAGATTTACATGATTTAGAAGAAGAATGGTATGCAAGTATGAACGATTTTTCATCCTTTGTACTGGAAGAACAGTTGGTAAAAGAACAAAAACATCAGGCATCAAGCACAAATGTTCAACAATATGATGAAAATACGGAAATGGAATACAACATTGAACATGACTTAAATAAATATTTAGATTTTACACAAAGTATATAAATTTTTTATTTAATAAACATTTTAAAATAAATTTTCTTTTAATTTATTCCTTTAGTTAGTAGTAATAATAGTTTAGGGATTTAACAAAATAAAACAATATTTATTAAAAATATATAAATATATATTTTTTAAAATAACATATATCAATAATAAAACAAATTTGAATATTTTTAAAATATTTTATGATAAATAAATTCGAATACTTGCTTCAATATTATTTCTACAAATTGGACAATTATTTAGTGGAATTGCACAATCGACACAAGTTACAGTATGCTTGCAAGGAAAAAAAACTATTGATATTTCATTTTTATAACATATTTTACATAAATTTAAATCATCACTGTTTTCAATAGACTCCTCTTCTACTTCTACATCTTCTAAATCTGGATAGGGTGTTTCAGGTCGCGTAACTGGATCATTAATTATTTCAGATATATCATTTACAGTTGATGGTGGTTGTGGTGGTGGTGAATCATGTATTATTGAAGAAACCATTTCATCTATAAAGTTATCTCTTAATTTTTTAATATATTCAGTACCTATTTTTAATTGTAGAAAAGTACAATCCGGATTATATGCTGCATGTTCTTCCCAAGGATCATCAATGTTTAACCATCCCTTTAAATCTAATCCACATTGAAAACAAATAACACGATCTGATAATCCAGTATAGAAAAAACCTGCACTAGCCATATGATGAGGTTGTTGATCGGTGGTAAGTGGCCAATCTTCAAATGAATCCACACGTATTTGATTTAATGCAAATTCAGGATGCTTTATTGTTTTTTTCTTAATTATATCAGGAAAAATATTATCTTCGGGGACAGAATTTGAAAATATTTCAAAAGTATTATTTTGGTTTTCCATTGTGTTGTCTTTTTATAAGTTTTTATGATCACTAAAACAGCTTTGTTAATTCTTACACTTACAAACACACACTGCAAATTGAAAATAAAAACATAAAACTTATTTTATATTTACCCTTTCCACTTCACTTCCAGCACTCGAGTTTAAACTTTATTTATAGAGATAATTTTTTTAAATCATAAATTAATTTCCAATATGTTATTTTCTTTTGTAAATTAATTTCATTTTCCACTAATAATCGTTTTAAAACAACCAGTCTTCTTAAAATTAAATTATTACGACAAATTTTGCATCTTTTAACTTGATTATATTTTTTTGAAGAATTCATTTTTTTTTTTATTTAATGTTTTATGTTGAAAGATTTAACAAAAATAAACTTTGCAAAAACGGTAAACCTTTTATATATTTATATATAAATATATACAATGTTTTTCCATACCTTTTTTGATTTCTTAAACAAGCATTTTTACCCCTCTACCTCCCCACTTTAAAACCTTTTACTTTTAAATAATTATAATATTTTACTTACCTTTATAATATAAAGTTTATATAAATACACACATTATAATTTAAAAGTATCTTGTAAGTTACTAATTTTAAAAGGTTTATATTATACAGGATTAATTAATATAGGTAATAATAATAATATGTTTTTGTTTGAAGAATTAATTTTTATATTTAATGTTATATGTCAAAAGATTTAACAAAATAAACTTTGCAAACTGTAAATTTTTTATATCTACAATCTTTTCCATACCTCTCTTGATTTTTTAAACAACTATTTATTTTTACACATCTACTTCTACATTAAACCCTACCAATTTTTACTTTTAAATAATTATAATATTTTACTTACCCAATATTAATTTATAAACACAAAATATTTATTTATATATATATATATATATATATATATATATATATATATATATAATTTATTTAACAGGATTAATTAAAACATTAAATATTTTTAAAACTTTATTTTTTTTTATAAATTATAAAACCATAAATATCCCTTGGTCCACGCTGGGTGGAACCAATCATCTATGTAACTCTCCTCACCCCATCTTTCCAAAAACCTAATTCCAAATAGGTCAAACTCGGTAAAATCATCCATCAGCCATTCTTCGGGGTCTTGCAACTTTTCGTTTTCTTCTCTTAACTTCTTCCTTTCTTCTCTTACTTGTTTCATTTTTCTGATAAAATTTTTTACAGAATGCATGTTGTTTTTTATTCTACTTTTAGAATGTAATACAACTAAAATGAAACTGCCTTTTATATATATTACTTGCCCCCTACCAAATCATTTAGAATCAAAAAAAAAGAAAGCAGGTTAAAAAATTAAGGAAAACAAGAAATAATCTTAAAACATTTATTTTTATCAAAAAAATACGGTACACAATATTTATTTATAATTAATTTTAATTTTTAAATTCTTTAAATTATCATCTTTTTGCTATGTAAAATGTTTTATTGTACTTAACGAGGTGCCTAAGGGTTTAATATTAAAAAAAAAAAAATGTTTAAATATTCCTAAAACATAAAATAAAATTAATGGTTATAAAATTATTAAAAATATGTTATTTAATTAATATTCCTAAAATATAAAAACCAATTATTAAACCATATACCAAATTAAAAGTAAAAAGTATTTTAAACAAAATGATTTATTCAAATTTAACATTATAATAATCATTAGAAACTTCCATAATTAAGTACATTTTTTTATTATTGATTTCTCGGTTAATTTTTGTTAATTCTGGGATTAGTTTGGAAAAACGTTGTGGTAAAATTATATAATTTGGAAGTTCCTTTATTTTTACAATTATAAACTCACCATATCTTCCATCAGCTTTTTCCATCCCAACAAGCTCATATTTTATATTTTCCTGTAAGTCCTTAATTTTAATAAATGGTAGACTTTGACAATCATTCAGTTTGGCAAGAATGTTACTCATGATTATTAATTTGGTACAACGGGTACTAATACTTGAACAACAATAAAATTAATATAATAAAAGTAAGAAATAAATTGACTTTATATATTATCTTAATTTCCCCTACTACTATACATACCAAATCTTTTTTGCGCAATGTTGCATAAGTTTTACATACTTATGCTTAGACATACACACAAATTTAAAATTAAATTTTATTTTATATTATATATTTTAAGGGTTTGTTTCTAATTTTTCTATTCGTTTTTCTATATTATCAAACTTAATAATATATGTAGTATTATTAGAACTTGTCTGTAATTGAAAATATTTAATAGCTTTTTTAAATTCTTCTAATTGAATATTAAAGTTTTCAAATTTTGTATTAAAAGATACAGTATTAATTGTCGCATCTATTGCTTGTTGATCTAATAACTTTTCATTTTTCTTTATAAGTTTCTCTTGTTGATCAAGTATTTTTTCAAAATTATCAATCCGCTGTAAACCATCTAATATAATTTTTAATGTTTTCTCTAAAGCCTCGTTTAATATTTTGTCCTGATCAGATTTAAACTGTTTTAAGTTTTTTTCAACATTTTCATTTGTTTTATTTACTATATCTTTATAATCCTTTTGTATTTTACTTTTAAAATCTTTTTCCAATTTTGTTATCTGTTGTTTTATTGATTTAAAATTAGTGTCTGTTGTTTTAATGTTTTTATTGTTAGAATTATTTTGATTTTTTAAAATTTCAATACTTTTTTTAAGATTTAAAAATTCGATGTCTGAATTATCTATTACAGTTTGTATTGAATCGTATACACTTTTATAAAAATCATTTAAATTATTTTTAAAATATGTTTTATCAACAACATCGCTTTTAACATTAATTGAAGTATGATGTCCGAATTTGTCTAGGCTCATGATTATAATGACCAAACCTAATTTAAATAAATATATTTAAGTATATAGGCTCTTGTTGTTTTGATATTTGCATTTTGCATATACAACATAAATGTAAAAATGCAAATCATTTATTAAAATAATATTTGCGAAATTTAAATGCGAAAGTTTGTTAAATTAGGTTAATACATTGAAGGAATCGAGATAAGCAAGTAAACTTGTTTCAACAAGTTAACACAGCTGCAACTGCATAATTTTAAAAAAATGCAATCTTCAAAACATGATGCAGATAACTTTACCTGATAAAATAAATTAACCACATTCCTTGGTAAAAGAAATCAAATTTTTACAGCATGAAAAATCTTTGTGTTACAAAGTATTATGCAAATTTTAACTTATACGAGGTAAATCGAAATAGTAAAAAGAAAATATTTTTTATTAATAACATATAATTAATTTGGGTAGGATCGGAGTACATTGTGCCCGATTAACCCGATCAAACATTCCATAAGAGTTGAGAAGCATTTATTTTTGTTTTTCAACCCCCATCCTATTCATTTGCATAGGAGGTGATTCTATGACACATACAATCATTGTTTTACAATCACCATCCTATTCTTTTACATGTATGGGGATTCTATGACAAAAAAATTTATTTATCATAGAATCCCCATCCTATTCATTTGCATGCAGGGTGATACTGTGACACAG